GGAGGGCTCGTCGCTTCCCGGCCGGGGTGTCCGGGCTCCCACCCGCGACTGGCCCGCCGCTCTCCCCGACTCAGTGTCTCTTTGCCCTCTTGTTGCTCTGTGCCTTTGTTCCCAGCTGCCTGCTAGGTGCGGGCCCGATGCAGTACCCCGCCTGAACGTCTGACCCCCAAATCCCCCAGTATTCTTCAGGGAGAAGTTAGGACTTCTGGCCAAAAGGGCCACAGTGCCTTGAGACCCTGCCAAGCCCAGGACTCCAGGACCTGGCATCCAAAGCAGGCCCAGGATCCACTTCTGCTGACGGGCACCTGTTTTAAGGGCAGAGAACGACCTGAGAGATGGGGCCGCAAGCCCTCCAAACACTTCCTCTCTGTTTGAAATCCTAGAGACGCGGGGCTGGAAGGGACCGTGCAGAGGCGAGGTGGAGTCCAGCCCCTGGCCAGATGGTTCGAACCGTCCCAGCGTGAACCCGTTGTCCGAGCCATTCAGAAAATGACACGGCATGAGACGACGACCAAACCTGCCGCAGGGAGAGCAGGGGGACCGTGGGGGCCCACCTCCTGCTGCTGCGGGGTCTGTTAAATACACTGGAGAGAGGCCGTGCCCTGCCCAAGTCTGCAATGATCTGACCAGGGCAAACTCCTGCCTGACCCCAAATGCAGCGATCAGGCAAGACCCTTTAGCCAAGAGCCTCTTCCTTTCGGTCTTCCAGCACCTCCTTCCCCACCCTATGCCCCTCTTGCCTTCCTCCCTCTCCAGAAAGGCTAAAAAAAGCCAGGCCTTCACTTCGGAAAGGGGAAGACTGAGGGGGGGATAGGATAGAAGTCTCCAAAGTCAAGACACATATGGACCAAGCAAGCAAGGAGCCGTTGTTCACAAAGTCCCAAATATTAGAACAAGGGGGCAGGTGACAGGTTTAAAACCAACAACAGAAAGTGCACTTATACACAGCGGGCGCGTCTATACATGATGTTTTAATGCACATTAGCCTAATGTGCGTGAAGGGTGCGCATCTACATGCGCACACCCTTAATGCATGTTAAAAATGGTGAATTTAGGCTTTTTGCACTTAAATTATTCTGCACTGGTCCGGTCCTGTAGGGAGCAGACCAGGAAAGCCAAGGCTGCAACTGAACTCCAGCTAGCTTTGAGCATCAAGGACAATAAAAAGTCCTTTTTCA